GATGGTATCTATTAACGCCGCCATACACCATTAGTTTTATAAGGGTATTGTTACCGATACATATTTGAAATGAAATAAATATTTTTTAAAGACATTTAATTTCCATTAACTGTTAAACTAGCATAGCTAAATTTGCTGTAAAAAACCTTTTCAAAAGAGAGATAAAGAGAGAGTGAGAGAAAGAGAGTATGTGTGTATATCGAAAGAAGAAAGTTCACTTGCCGGTCGTCATGGTTACCAGGCAGAGAATAGTCAATACAACTCGAGTTTTCCCATGTTAAATAGGGACTCTGTAGATAACAAAATGATCAAGATTGATGCCTTATATACTGCCAGAGTAAATACATCTATAAATCGAAGCGTTTTTATAAACAATTTCCTTGTTGAATATTTTTTTATTCAAAAAAAAAGGCAGAAAAGATGAATAATTTATAAAATTCCGAAAACTAAATGATAATTATCTAAACTGTTTTCTATTTATAGTATAAATTACTGTTAATGTCATTTATCTTTTTTAGGATTGATCATAGCAACCTGCCAATCAATTAATAGATCAGGTAGAGAAATAATATAAAGATGTAAAAATTTGGAGAGGATTTCATTCGGTATTTTAAGTATAAAACATATGCTCATTTAGCCGGTACTGATTTTCTTAATTTCAAACACTGTGAAAGATAACATTGCACAGCTTCAAATGGATTTTTTTTGTCGATCTTGAGAATGGAATTCGATCTAGCCCTCCCTATTCCTCTTCTTAATCACAATTAAAAGTAATGGGGTTTTTTCTTTGCTCATGAAATTTTTTTGTTTTTGCTTCCAAACCAACTTAAAAAAAATATTAAAACCTGATATGGAAATGGAAATCTTCTATAAGATACTTATAAATCTACAAAAACATAATTTTATCCCCTCTCTCTCTCTCTTCTCGATTTGTCCGTCTATTCATGCATCTGGTTTATATCGTCTGCTTGTTTTTCTTTGCTTTTATATGATTAAATTAAAATCGAAGGTGAATTTGAGCAACGAAAAAGAAAATCGCATATATATCACTTAAACAGTAAACTGTATAGTAAGAATTGATCATAAATTTCGGGAACAATTTTAACATTTTGGAACAAACATTTTTAAAAGGAAAATTCTCATGTTCAAGCTCTCATGTTGATTTCATTTCATATCTGAAAAATATTGAAACATGTTGAAATTCTTGTGCTGACAATACTTTTTGAATTATCAAGATTTTTTTCTTTTCCTTAATCTGGTATGTTTGTGTACTATTACAGAATGTACTTATTTATTAAAATATTTAATTGTTTGGAATGAATTGACTTCAAATTTTGATTTCTGAAAGATATTAGTATATTTAACTTTGTGGTTTAAAACGAATTTTCTAATCTGTGATCAAAGCGTGTTCACTGATTACGGAGATAACAGAAAACAGAAAATAAAACTAACATTCTATTGATAGTTCTGTAAATAGATTATTGAAAAGAGAATTGTTATAAACAGTTTGCTACTGAGAGTTCTCCGAAAACGTAAACGCATGACTGCGATTCTCGGGGTACTCCATACATGTACATAATGAATTCGATACCTTGTGTTTTTAGATGTGTTATACTATGAGGTAAAACGTTATTACAGAAAAGTTGCCTGTGTACGTTTAGTTAAAGGGTAAGCACAGATTTAAAATTTTATCAATTGAGTGTGCATATGAGTCAATATATAATGAAATGATTTTTTTTAAAATCTAAAATGGTTCTTTTAAGTAAATTTATTCATACCTTAGTTACATTAAACGTGCAGTCGACCTGCAGGAATATTCATGAAAACCAAGTTTAACAACAAGGGGGTTTGTTTTCGAAGAAAACAATTGTTACATAATTCAAGATGGATTGTTAATTTTTCTTAAATGTAAATCTTTTTTTCTTTTTCATAAAATATAAATGAGGTTATTAAGTCCTAATTTACATTTCAAAATGTTTTCTCATTAGATAACACGCAGCACATCAAGATTTTAGCATAGAAATCAAGTTTTAACATTCAATTTACTGTACCGTTATTTAATCATTTCTTCAACCTGATTTATACCGGTTTTTATTTTTTCATACTTACCTTCCATGTTATATTTTTTGTCAAATATATTTACTCAAATTACTCAGTATTTGGGATTTAAAAATTTCCTTGATGCATTATGAGTTATTTTGACAAAAACAGTATAGAAAGAACACAATTTCGTTCTCTATATTGTAAATATTCAAATACATATTGCTTATCAAGAGAACCTAAGTAATATTCATCTCAAATGCCATGAAAACAGATAAAACTGACATAATTATGAGGCTAGGTTTTTTTTTTCAATCTGTCATCATAAATACTTTGGGAATTCTATGTGAACAGAAATCTTATAACATGATTTCTACTTCATAAATTAATAAAGGAATGAATTTAATAGCTACCCAATTTATACGGTATAAAATGGGTTGGGGCAGTTTACGCTTTATAAACCGCGAAGCGGTTTATAAAAAAGCGTAAATTGTCGAAGTTTTTTCTCGGTCCCATCGAGTATATATATATATATATATATATATATATATATATATATATATATATATATATATATATATATATATATATATATATATATATATGTGTGTGTGTGTGTGTGTGTGTGTGTGTGTGTGTGTGAGGGGGTGTGTGTGTGTGCAACGGCAGCGATATTAAATTGTGGACACATTGGCACTTGAAGTTGTGCAATGTTGTCTTTCAGACCTAGAGTGTTTGAAACTTACAAAAGTAGTTATCGCTAAATTATCACTTTTTTCAGGCTTCGCAGCACAGTTAAGGCTGCAATAAAGAGGCGGGGCCTAATTTTTACGGGAAATGCTTACTATGACATCACACAAAAATACAAGTTCTTCAAATTACCACAGAATGAAATGATACGCTATTTTAAACTGTTGGATAGCTTTAAACTACATCAATACTTACTATTGCATGTATTTTTGTCGTTGGTTAAATCCCACACAGCCAAATATAAACAATTCACTGATCGCAATGCGATTGTCAATGTGACGTCATATCGTAAAATTTGACGCAGTTTGTATGCAGTGAGAGGCAGATCAAGTTATATTTCATACAATGAAAAATGTGTTTTGTAATTAAATAAAATATTATTTGCAGATATATAAGTGACCATTAACTTGGATGCGATGTCTATTTAATGATTTTATTCATATACTTCGCGTACATTCCCTAGACAAGTGAAATTGCCGTACATTTGTATGCAGATTCATTGAAGGGTAATAGAAGGGTCGTAATAAATCGATATATTGCAAGGGCAAACCCTCAATGAATTACGACAAGCTTTTACACATAAACTCAAGAGGTATGAAGATATTTGAAAAGTGCTGAGAACCTGATGAAATCTTGCAAATGAATTAATTATATCTATATTTAATGTACTTGACCAGCAAAATATTCAACATACGGTCTAACAAATGTAATTTTAGCAATTATATAGTAGAATCTATATAGGTTCGCAGCACTTTTCACAAACTACAAAGAGTGTTGAAAATAATTATAAATCAAACTTAGATTTTGAACTTGGTTATGCCCTTGCAATATTGGAATTTATAGATGACCTCAATACTGCAGGTATATTTGCTAAAATCACGTGACTGTCACATTACGTGACAAATCTAAATAAGAAATCTAGTCGTCTTCAACATGTAGTTTTCAACCACATTACATTTGTCCGATAATAGTAAAGGCCTAAAAAGAATCGCCCATCCTTGCAAAGAATGTATTTTTTCTGTCTAAAAAATTCGCCGATATTTCCATTTGGCACCTTAACTGTACTGCGTTAGAATATTTAGTTAAATCTTTTAAAAAGCTCTTCATCTTTATGCTATTTTTCTACTCAATCTATCAATCGATCGGTAGGTTGCTATTATCATTTTATAGTAACGAAATTATAATAATTATAATATAAAAAAAAATTATTGACAATAAAAATGGATTAGATAATTATCATTTGGTTTTCCAAAAAAAAAAAAGGTTTTTTTTTAACCCCCCCCCCAAAAAAAAAAAAATCAACACGGAAATTATTTATAAACGCATTGATTGGTGGATATGGATACTCTTTAAAGATTTGACTATCACTTACAACAAGAGTCGTATTGCAAATTTAACTAAAATATGAAATACAGTCCTAGTTATGTATATTAAACACCTGTCACACCGGGTCTGCGTCCTCACGGCGATCGCACGGCGTCCAAAAAAAATAATGCAAAACGCCGAGGTGAGCGCAGTAGAGTCTCCTACAGCGCCGTGACAACGCGGTGAGATCTCCAATGAACGCGGTAGGGTCGCGTAGGGTTTCCTAGAACGCCAGGGGACGGCGCGCACTTTGGGCATGCACAAAGTACGCGCCGTGTGATCGCGGTCTGATAAGAACGCAGTAGAAACGTAGTATGATCGCCGTAGCAGCGCGGTGAGATCTCCAACAACGCAGTGGGAACTCCGTACGAACGTCGTGAAGACGCACATGATCGCTGTATGAACGCAGTGATAGTAGACTGCGATTCCACGGAGACCTTGCGGAGTCATTGGAGATTTCACTGCATTTCTATCGTGCTTTTAAGGCGCTTCTAATGAGATTAATAGTCTTGTGATTTTTTGTCTGCGATTACACAGCGATAACAAGGAGTTGTCACTGCGATCATTGCGCTCCCTTAGAGTTTCTACCGCGTCCGTTGGCGATCGCAGTGCGCTTTCACGGCGTTGTTGGAGTGTTGTCAGCCAGCTCACAAAACAAGAGCAATGGCTGCTGCACAACGGCAAGCAGGGATGTTCTTTGCATTGATACATCTTCAACAAGTCCAAGAAGAAGATGCTGTATATCTTATTCAAGACAGAGGAGAGCCACAAGGCGTAGGAGGGTTTGGGTACGGCAGTGGCTGGACGTCGACAGAAGGCTGAATTATGGTCACTTCAATCAACTCATGCCTGAGTTACGGAATGAAGATCCTGCAAGTTTCATGAATTTTCTCCGTTTGCCGCCTGTTATGTTTGATGCCCTCCTTGCAAGATTGCTTCCATATATCACCAAGCAAGACAATAATTATCGTAAAACAATCGAACCAGGTTTGAAACTTGCTATGACGTTACGCCACCTAGCCACCGGAGAAAGATATGCAAGCATGAAATTCGACTTTAGAGTACCCCACAACACAATATCTCTGTGCGTTCGTGAAGTATGTCAAGCCATCATTAATGAGTATAAGGACGAGTGCCTCCAATGTCCAATCACTGAAGAAGAATGGTGTGCAATCTCTGCAGAGTTTTGTCGCAGATGGAACATGCCTCATACCTGTGGAGCACTTGATGGGAAGCATATTGCTTGTAGACGTCCTCGCAACAGTGGTAATTTGTATTACAACTACAAAGGTTTTTTCTCAGTCGTGCTCATGGGCCTTGTTGATGATGCAGACTACAAATTCCTGTGGATTGATGTAGGTGGATATGGACACATGTCCGATTCTCAGATTTTTAACGCGTCCGAGCTGAAGGAGTGTTTGGAGGACAACAGCATAGGATTTCCTGTAGCAGAGCCACTTCCGAATGATGACACGCCAACACCGTACTTCATTCTTGGTGACGATGCTTTTGGGCTTCGCACATACCTCATGAAGCCATATTCACAGCACCAAATGACAAAAGAGCAAAGAATTTTTAATTACCGAGTGTCAAGGAGTCGACGCATTGTTGAGAATGCGTTTATCATCATGGCGCAGCGCTGGCAGATTCTACTGACAATAATGCAACAAGAACCCGAGACAATCGCTACCATCGTAGAAACATGTGAAATTCTTCACAATCTGATGCATATGCAACACCCTGCACTCCAAAACGCTGACATGGACGTAGAAAATGCAGACCACCAAATAATCCCTGGTTCATGGAGGACCACAGCGAATATGCATGCTGTGGAGAATGTTATGGGCCCCAATCGAGATAGCACAGCAGCAAAGAAACTGCGGGAGTATCTGAAGTTGTACTTCAACTATACAGCTGGTTCTGTCCATGGCAGTATCGTATGATTTGAGTTTTACCAAGATATGAATAACATTTGAAAACAGGAGAGAACTTTAATTTTGTATGTGTGTTTATGAATCGTTATGATTTACTTAAATATGATTTATTTGAATGTTCATAAATTTCATATTTTATTTGCATTTTATGAAAAGTCATGTTTACCATATTTCATTTAAATAAGCAAAGAGACAAAAACAATGCTAACATCATTTATTTACTAATAAATGTAGAAAATAAAGTTCACCACTCCCATCTGTATACATGTCAAACGGTTCAAATAAAAAACTAAAACAAACAATCAGTCAAACAAACAATAACATAGTTCATACTTCCGGTATTTCTTGAGTTATAGTAACACAGAAAATAAAAAAAATACGGTTCATATTTTTTGGTATGTCGAATAACCGTAAATTGTTTACTGTCCCTCTCCATCCCTACACCCATCACATGCCTCGGCAACTCTGTCAAGAGGGGTTTACACATTTCCAGACTGTTGTTGACCAGACTAGTTAAGCTTACTGACTGTTCTGTAGATTGAATAGGGGCGCTGGTAGTTGCTATGTTAGATAGTCCTTCTGTCACCACTGTCGTCGGCTGTAGCTCAGTCATTTGTGCATGAACCCAAACAGGATTCTGCGACCCCCAAACAGACATATTCTGTTGGACGGTTGTAGGCCACTGCTGAGGCGGAGGCTGCCAAATTGCGCTAGTCGATCCAGTACCGGGAGAAGGCCGAGGAAAGGCATGGAACTGCTGTTGTTGTGCTGAAAATTGCAGTTGATGAGCAGAATATGGCTGTTGATAGACTACAGGATTAAGAAGCTCTTCACTTTTTTCTTGGTAGGTATACAATAGGTTGGAGCTTTCCCTTTTGAACTTAAGCCACAGTGACGGATGCCGGTTTACCATCGCTTCCCTTGTCCAGTCAGCGAAGGCGGTTCTCTCCGTGGCCTTTTTTTGCAGGAGCCAGCATCTCCAATACTTTTGTTTGAAATGCCATGGACTGCTCACCTCTGTTTGCGATATTGCTGAGCAATCGCTCTTCCTCTTGAATGGCTTTCTTTTTGGACGATACTGATGATAGAGGTTCCAACTGCTGACGAGAGATGGTATCAGTTTCTGTTTCAAATTGTTTTTCTAAATTGTCGTTGTTATCATCATCTGCAGAATTAGCGGAAGCTATCTTCCCCTTCATTTGTAAAAGCACAAAAAATAAGAAATATTGATCACAAGTCAGGAACTTTATGAACACAAAAATGCATTAGAGGTCTACAATGAAAAGAATGGACTTTTTGTACTTACACTGACTGTGTTTTCTTCTTAATTTCAAAGATATGAACCTTCAGGCAGGCAAAATTTTGAAGGATCCAGCGGTCTCTTTCTGTTAGCTCACTTGCGCCATCACCAGATTTTCTATGTAAGAGGCGGGTATAACGGGTACGGATGGACCGTTACCAGGTCTTCAGTGTTTCAACGTCCTTACCAAGGCTAGCTGCTTTGGATTCCCAAAGAGTGTCTTTCTTTTTGAAATCCTTGTAGGCATTCAGATTTTTGTTGTACAAAATTTCATTTGCCTCAAGCCATGAAGTCATTTCTTCCTCTTGTTCATCAGTAAGAGCAGTCTTAGATCTTTTCTGTGGGAGAATGTCTGGGGTTGAAGGGTTTGATGGACTACTTGCTCCAGAGGACAGGGGACAAGGTGATTTGTCGCGCTCTGGATGAGGTGGTGATGGTGAATCTGGATTCAAATCTGTCGGCATTGGATTTTGGTCTGATGTCGTTTGAATCGCAGCTGTTTCAATTAACTCTGATTCTAAAGCCGTAGGATTAAAATCCAAGGGCAGAGGACTATTTTTTGTCCTTTTTTTAGATTTTGTGACCCTCTTCCTAGTCATGGTGAAACAGGACTGATTGACGATGCAAGCACTCCTTCTATATATATATACCCATGGGTGAAGAACGCATTGTGAACGTATTATGAACGCAGATAGCGCAGTGAGAACGCGGGGTGGCAACTCCTAGCATGCCGTGGAATCTCCGCGGAAGCGCAGTCCCGGAGAATATAAGACAGAGCTTTGTCAATTTGCTTACATACAAGTGACAAACAAACATGATTGATAGAGGGCGTTGCTTTTCTTGGAAACGCTTACTAACCTGATAAGTATTCTAAAAAAAAAATTACTGATGTAAGAGGAAGGTAAAACGATTTAATATTATTATGTAACCATTGGCTTCTTTTGAAGACAAGCAGTCTTCTTCTCAAATGTAGTTTTCTGAGAATGCTCCTGCAGGTCTTCAAGTTTAAGCCATTTCAAGTTTTTTTTTCTCTATATTAAGCATACACGATACCCCAAAAACAGTGAAAAAAAATCACAAATTGAATAGTTCAGAAATCCTGGTAATTCTGAAATTATTCTGGTATAAATCTTTTATATTTTTTTTATCAAGTAAATGTATGCTTTTCATTTACTGCCATGATGTTGCAAGGGAGTGTATTGTTTTACAAGAAAAATAGCATTATGAAATCAAATCAAATCGTCTGACTGACGTTTTACATTCTTAATGTAAGGCCATTTTTTACACATTGAATTGTCTATGGATTTTTCCGTTTGCCCTATCATGACAAGGAGCACACGGCGGATGTGACCGGTCGACTAAGAGATACTTACTCCTCCATGACATCTGATCCCACATCTGATGCATTTAGAGGTATGTGTTTGCTCTGCTCCCGACTTGTATTCTTTCAATGCACTTGAATTGCTGTTCATTATTTCCATATTTCATTCTATTAACCACTATTAAAAGAAAACACACAAACACTTCTAAGTAGAACTGTAATAGGTTTTAAAAAATAAGCCCAGTTTTTACAATTACAGTTTAATGTGTATATCATACTAATGTCAGTTCTTTTATGAGTGCATTGTAAACACTTTATCAAAGTAAAATTAAAATATTTGCTATACTTTTGGCACAAATATATATAAATAAGCTCAGTTTGATGACAAGTTTTACAATTACGTTTACTGTGTATCCTAATATAGTACATTAGGGAATATCAGCTGGTTTTAATTGGAAAAAAATGACAATACTAGATAACATCAATTACGAAAAATTAAAACATTTTGGAAATTGATTTCAAAAGGTATTGCTTCCTAGACCTTAAGTATATAGTCCTTTCTTTTAATGATGTTAAATCACGAACGGAAAAGAAACATCAATAGATATTGCTTAAAAATAAAATGTCTTAGTACAACATAAACTAATCAACAGTGAACTACTTTCTCTTTGCTTCTCGCACATATATGCGTTCATTGTGCTTGTATTTCACAAACCTTTACAAAAAACTATTGTGTACTATAGTTAACTGTAGTTTACTATAGTATCAAAGTTTTCACAATAGAAAACCAGAAATTTAAAGTATTTTACTATGTATTTTAGGTAGTTATATTTTATGTACTCCAATTTATTTTTTACATTAATTGGAATTATTACTTGTAGATTCAGAACTATAAACTTCAGAGTACTTGTGTGTAGAGTCAGAGTGATTTTTTGAACAAAGTAGTTTTGTTGATAACCAATAACAAAATATGAAAATTTCCAAGTTCATTTTTTATTGAAGAAGGAGTTGTCTATAATACCAGAAAGCAGAGTTTTCAAATTACCATGAGGAATAATTGTAATAAGTGTAGAAAAATTATACATTTTAATGCTACAGACTTTTGAAAAATTTGGTGATTTTAAAATTGCGTTCTTTGGATTTTTTGAGAATCCATATTTGATATAAACCACTAATTGAATATGTCGTACCACAGAACGTCTGACGTTTCTCTTTTGCAGCAGTTGATATATTTGTGAGATAGACTGTAGGGTTATTTTGTTTAATAAAAAAAAATATTTAACGTCAGGTGTCTGTGAAATTTTGGAACAGATAGTTACGCTGAAGGAAAATGAACTACTCATATACACATATATAACGTCCATCTAGAAATCACAAAGAAATGTTTTATTGCATTGCAGCTTGAATTGAATAGAAAATATGATGTTGATAATAACAACAAATAAGTGTGGTTGTTAACAACACGGTGGTTGGAGAAAGATATCTTTCTTTTTTAAATCCTTTAGTTAGAAGGGATTGAAACAGAATAATGTATTTGAAAAAAAAATGAAGAACCGTTTGATATAGATTAGGTAAAAGGTAATGCGTTTAGAACATTTAAGCAATATAGATCTATCTTTTGTACCAGTAATATTATCTGTAAATTTTATAGCCAATGCTTATAATTCAATTTTAATGAAAAACATGTTACTTTTCAAGTACATATATACGCATTATTTTGCTAACTCAAAAATTTGTGCACGAAATTTGCATGCTGACAGCTCTGTACAAAAATTGAACGATTCTAAAAACCTGTCGTACACAAGGCAGGTATAATTTTCTTTTAAAGCTATACATGTAAAAATAAATAATAAAGAATCCCTTTTCTAATTTTGCCTATCTAATAATTTGCCAAGTTATCAATTAATTAAGTTGTGAATATCTGCACGTGCAATTTTAAAAGCGATTACAACAAGAGCAGGCAGAAGCTTGCTTTATCGGTAAAGGGAAATATGTCGAGTGGAGTGCAACAGAATAATAAAAAGAGACATCTTCAGGTAAAAAAAAATCTGGAAATTAACTTCACATGTGAGTTAAGGCTAGGTATAGGCGTTTCTATGCAAATGAGCTGATAAAAATGCATAAGAGGTATATTCATAATCCAGAGAAAGTGTTGGTTTATTTTATTATGCATTCTTAGTATCCACGATATGTTATAGCCAGTACACATTATGACGTCATATTATGACGTCACTGATCTTACCTACTAGAGGTAATGAGACATTTACAAAACAGCTTCGGCGCAAGGGATTACTCTATATATTTTTACATAAAAATTGTATAATGCTATGAAAAATATTCTATAGATTAATAAAACTGCTGCACAAATCCTAGGCATTTTCTCATTTG